AATGGGGTTAATTTTGTCTCAAAAAAATTAGCAAAGTTTCCCATCGCACGGGAAAAAAAATACCATGCCTTGATGGTATTTTGAGTAGGGAATCACTTGTGTGAAATAAAAGCATGGAATTTTTTTTTTCCCAGGATGACTTTTACTCTTCCTCCTACCAAACGTGGAAAAATAATTTTTTCCACCCCACTTTCTCAAGATTCCAAAAAAAATCCATGTACCAAAAGCACCTTAGAGAAAGAAAGTTTGTGTTCTCATTGTTTGATTGCATCGTAGAGCGTTTGCCCCAATTGCTTCGTTGCAGTAGCAGACCCTTTCTCTTTCTTTCATATGATAAATTAAAAAGATTTTAAATATATTTCACTTATCACTTGCACCTGCTTTTGCCACCTTGACCTCTTCGACAATCTCCTCTCCAACCACGCCCCCTACACACTCTCCTAAATCTTTTCCCTCCACTACCTCAACCTCTCATTTAACAACCTCGTCAATGAGCTCCGACTAGTTTCAGTGATTGGAGTCACTAGCCCACGTTAGGAACCTTCTCAACGAAACAATAACCCAATTCTCTTGTAAACATTTTCACCCTAAAGGAGCTCCACCTTGCTTACAACATGTTCGATGCGGGCCTAATCTTGAGCGAGCTAGGGAACCTGATGAACCTCAAGGATCTATGCTTTGTTTGGTGAAACCTCGTGGGTCCATTTTTGATTTTGCTTGGGAACCTCATTTGTCTTTAGAACTCACTTGTTCAAGAACATGCTCACTAGGACCATACCGGAATCAGTGGTTGCGAGGTTGAACAACATTGCGCAATTCGAGCTCTACCAAAACTCCCTCTCCGACAAGTTACCCTATGTCGAATTTACGAACATGACTAGATTAAAAAAATTTGAGAAATTTTTGTTAAAGTATATAAATAAGCTTTAACACCTTATCAGATGCATAAAAGAAAGAAAAATAATTTAGTGAGGGGGAGAGCATACATTAAGGGAGAGCATATGTTAAGGGGGATATACCATAGACTTGTATTTCTAAATTATTGTGTTACTAACCCTATTTCTTTATTAAGTGTTTGTCATCATAAAAAAAGGAGAAATTGTTGAACTCAAAAGCTTATCAAAGGTTATATAATTGAGTTTTGATGATAATAAAGCACACACAAGTACAATTTGGAAGATGGTACAATAAATTCCCAAATAGTAGATGAAGACTAAAGTAATATGCAAAAAGCAAGGAACAACTTAAAATGGCAAAGTCAATCTTCAAGTCAAAGCTTTCAAGTGAAAAAAGGCACTAAAAGGCTTAAAGCATGAAGACCAAAAAGTTCAAGTGATAGAGGCTCCCATAGTTAGAAACATAGTTTTAAGTAATGAAAACTTAGAGAATGAATACTATTAAGCTCTTACTTCAAGAATTGCATTCATGGTTAAAAAAATGCATTAAAGGAACCTACATAGTCCAATCATGCATACAAGATCACACACACATAAAAAGTTCTTAGAAACATTCATACATAGGTAATAAGTCATTAGAAATCATTTGGAGTTGAATTGGATCAAAAATTGCAAAAGTAGGCATTTTTGTTGTGGTGTCACTCGAGTAACTCAAAACCATTTACCAGGGTATATGATTTATTCGAGTAAATGGAAACACTTACTCGAGTAAATGATGAAGAACATTTACTCGAGTAAGTGAAGCTAAAAAGCTAAAAATAGACTAATTCGATGTCCAATGGTCATAAACAGCTGATACTTCGATTCGACTCCAATATAAACATAAGATTAGGGTTTCCAAACAAGTTTTTACATAGATTAACACAAATTCACATATAATTCAGAAATATCATCATGTAGAGGCATTTATGTCATATCTTGATTAAAAACTCAATTACTCTTTAATCTTCTTTGTTTTTTTTAGATCTTTTAGTTATTGGATTGTAAAAAGGTTATTTTGAATATATTTTGATTCATTAGGTTGTTGTAATTTGGATTTGGAGAATGGAGTGATCATGTAGGGCTATAGGTTGAGTGACCAAGATTGGTCAAAATTCTTGTAAAATTCCATTGCAAATTGATTTTTCAAGCACAAATTAAAGCTCTGGAGATTAATGGATGATCTGTAACAGTCTGGATGTAGCCCTCTAGTGGTTTGAGGGCAAACCATGATGAAATTCTTGTGTTTGATCCTCTAACCCTTACACTCTTTAATTTGCATTTTTGATTCTTTGTTTGCAGCATCTTTTATTTTGATCGAATTTTGTTTTGGGGTTGAAAAGTGTTTGTATTGTGTTTCTTGATTAATGACATTGATTTATAAGAAAGGGACCATTTGGGAACAATTTTCTTGCAAAGAAAGTAACTACAATTCAACCTCCTCTTATGGTGTAAGTTTATTCTTGTTTAATAATAAGTATAAAGAGGTGATAAGTATAACTCAACTCATATTTTAAAAGTAATTTTAATTTATCATCTAAATAAAATTGGTTAATTTAAATTAACTTTGAAGTATTGGAGTCTAATTTACTTGGTTCAAAATATTTGTTTGCAAGTGACAGATATATTTTTCTTCTACTTTCCTTTCCCCTTTTCTTTCCTTCGCCCCCTAGTAGTAAGGGTGTTCGCGGCCTGGATTAGATCGATTTTAAAGCAAAAAACATCTAATACAATCACTTTGGTTTGATCATTTAATCATCCATTCAGTTTGGATTTTATTTTCAATTTCGATCTAATCCAATTCAATTTTATTCGGTTTGGATTAGATCGATTTTTGATTTTTTGAAAAGTCTAGAATTTCAACCATACAAATCATTAGCTATATCAAAATGAAGCCATATAAAGTTACAAACCACTGGAAAATCAAGTCTTCAAATTAAAACAAGTCTTAAAACTCATGAAGAGTTAAAATAGAGTAATAGACAATAAAAAATTAAAACAAGGTAGTTTGCTATTAATAACATCCAAGATTCCAAGACTACAAAACAAGATTCCAAGTCACCGTCTTTCTCTTCCATACTTCACTCTTTCAGCTTGCTCAATGCTCACTCTGTGGTCTTCAAAACAACTAGCAAGACAACAACTTTCATGAAAATAAAATATTATGATAGGGTTCAAGCAACAACAAACTTAAAATAAATACATGAACAATTGAAATTAAAAAATTGTAACTTACATCATCAACTTTTAATCATAATTCGCATCAGAATCATATATTTTCAACTTTTGTATTTGGAGAAATATCTAAACTAATTATAATAAAATATTGTTAGTAACTTAATAATTAAAAAAATAAAAAAATGATATAAAATTAAAAAAATTATACAAGTAGAATAAAATAAATTACCTATCTCTTTTTGGAACAAAAAGGGATGGCGACAGGAGCCGCATACTATAATAGAAAAGGACGACGATGGAGTCGTAGATTGGAATAGTAAGTCGATTCTTCAAGGGACGACAACAACATAGGAGGAGAGTTAATGTCGACTTGTCGCGTAGAGGAAACAGAAGGGATAGCGGCAGTGGTGCCGTGGAGGGAGCATTTGGATTCTAGAATGAAAGTGGGTTCTTCAGATAAAGGAGGCGTGGCGCAGGTGGGTGTGAATTTAGGAATAGTATATTCTAGGGTTTGAACCTAAGGGAGTAACTGAGTAAGGGTTAGTAAATTAGGGAAAAGGGCATTGGCAGAATTTCAAAAATAATAAATACATAATATATATTGGATCAGTTTGGATTTGGATCGATTTTCAGCAAACAAACCGAAAATCAATCCCAACCAATTAAAATATTCGATTTTTTTCGGTTTTTGATTTTTTAGTTTTCGTTTAATTCGGTTATCGATTTTTCGCACTGTGGTTTGAATCGATTGTTGAACACTTCTACCTAGTAAAGTCATTTGTAAAAAAAGTAAAATACAAGTATTGAAATATCATTTTTAAACTTAAATAAATTCTTTTAATAGTAATTGATCTTTCAAAATCACTGTTAAGAACCTTGAGGTCACCACTCCAAAAGCTAGCTCAAAGGGTGGGAGTGTTCAAGGCCTTATAAACCTCACATTAGTTGCCCATACAACCAATATGGACTATATTTCTCAACACGCCGTATATTTCTCAACACGCCCCCTCTCACGAGAGCCCACTGGGCTTGAAGGATGGACAACATACAAGCCCACCTACATGTGAAAATTCCACTACAAAGAAAGTAGGAGGCGGTGAGATTTTGAACGCAGGACACGAGGCTCTGATACCATGTTAAGAACCTTGAGGTCACCACCCCAAAAGCTAGCTCAAAAGGTGGGAGTGCCCAGACTTTATAAACCTCACATTAGTTGCCCATACAACCAATCTGGGACTATATTTCTCAACACGCCCCCTCACACGAGAGTCCACTGGGCTTGAAGGGTGGACAACATACAAGCCCACCTACATGTGGAAATTCCACTACAAAGAAAGTGGGAGACGGTGAGATTTCGAACGCTCTGATACCAGGTTAAGAACCTTGAGGTCACCACGCTAACTCAAAGGGTGGGAGTGCTCAAAGCCTTATAAACCTCACATTAATTGCCCATACAACCAATGTGAGACTATATTTTATAACAATCACTTTAGCTAAATTTTAAACCAAACGATTACTAAATATGGAAATTTTCGGTTCTGGATAAAATCTTGACCGTGCTTTTCTTTGATTTTTCAAATTGATTCTCTTTTCTTTATTTACTGTTGGGTGGGGGAAGGTGGCTGATAAATGAAGCATGCATTTGCATGTCAAAGATCGACGTCATGATGTAAACAAAAGTTGAATGACATATAGACGTTAACTCATGCAGACATCGCTACCTACCTAACTTATAGATAAGCAATGTCTATATAGTTCACGTTACCAATAAATGGCATGTTTTCAATATCTCCCTATATCTTTGTCTTCCATTCAGGCTTTGTGATCTACTATTAAATTTGAATGGGAATGGTGTTGCCCTTTTCGCTCAAAGTAATCTTCGTTATCATGGGGTTGTACTCAGTTACAGTTTATGGTTTCGTGAACCGTGATGGCTATTTCTCAAGACACAAGATTATAGAAGTTGACAAAAAATTAAAGCATCTTAGAAGGCACTCCTTAAAAACTATCCAGGTGAAATTATCTTAACCGTCGTTCCCTTGTGTGCATCTTAACTCCATGCATGTTATTAATTATATTAGTCCTGTGTATTTGATCAATGAAGCCTGGTGTTTGTTTTTCTTGCTATAGATTTAATTAACAAAAAAGAAAAATAATTGGAAGTTAGATATTCTGTAGGGTATATATGCAAATAGTGTTGAATGATCGTTGGTGTTGTTCAGATTTTCTGAATTGTTACACAAGGTGCTTGGCTTGGTCTTCCTTATAGAAGCTTAATTAATTAATTAATTTTATGCTTAATATAATCTTTCTTTTTTTTCTTTTATGCTTGTAGAGTAAAGATGGTGATATTATTGATTGCATCGACATAAAAAAGCAGCCAGCCTTTGATCATCCTGCGTTGAAAGATCACAAAATCCAGGTGATTGATCTGCTTTTTATTCTTTGTTTAATCATCATGATTTTTTGGTTATATATATGTAGCTTGATATATAGACTAATTACAATTTGTTCACCGTTTTGCAACTCAAACTACTCTATGGATCTGCACACACACATATATATAAATAAAATCAGATGGCTCCCACTCCCACTTATAATTCAGTTAAGGAGGACACAACACCAACTAAAAGCAAACCCAAAACGATGAAGCAAAGGGCTGAAGGATCATCTATGATAGTGACTTCCCAAGTATGGCAGAAAAGTGGAACATGTCCAGAGGGAACAATACCTGTTCGAAGAATACGAAAGAGAGACTTGCTCAAGGCTCATTCAATAGAAGAATATGGAAGGAAAAAACCGAGTTTCTCTCACCGAAAAGTTGATCAGCTCAATCAGAATCTCGAGTCCTTTTTACAACTGCAAAACCACTCTGTAAGTATGAATTAGAGATAGAATATTAAAATTATGACTAAATATTTTTTTGATGTCAATCTTACGATGCTGGCTTTAGTCCTAGCAAATAAAAAAGTTATTCTTTAAGAAATTCAAAATGGACCTATTTAGTTGAAATCGTGATCTCTCACAAATTCAAAAAAGACTCATATTAGTCCCTCAGAAGGACTAAAATGAGTCCATTTTAAATTTTTTATGATCACAAATAGCCTTTTTATTTGCTAGGGACTAAAGCGGGCACATAAAATTTAGTGAGAACCGAAAAAGGTATTTACTCTAAAATTATTCATGTGCTTTCGTTCAGCAAACTCAAATTTTTAAGAGAGTTAGTTGTGTGATATGATACCATGAGGTGAAGTGAGTATCTCATCCACAATTCAAATTTAAAGGGCTATTGCATGGAGATTTCATGTTAGAGATATAATATAAAAGTCAATAATGCGTCTTTACTCTGCAAACTTAAATTAAGTTGATTCATGATAATATAAGCGTAGCTCTCTTTTACAAATTGTTTAGCATTACCAACGGTAAAGAATCATTTTAATTCAAAAACTTAAGCTATTAGATAGAGACATAATAATGATTTGATATCTTATATTATATTTCTCTAACATTAACTTAAATATTTTTTTTTCTTGTACTTGGAAGAAACCAAGTGTTTTGCTTGGCTGATTTTATATCTATGTGAACCAGAAGGCAATATTGTTCACAGATGGATACCGCTACTTGGGAGGTAAAGGAGACCTCAAAGTGTGCAACCCTTTTGTTGAAAGGGACGATGAGTACAGCACTGCCCAAATCGCTCTCTTAAATGGGGCTTACAATGACTTTGAGTGCATTGAATCTGGTTGGGCGGTGAGAAGTAACTTGTTCTTACTTCTTTTTATTATGCTTCAGCTTCACAGTAACTTCTGCTTATTACTTGAACACTAAGTTATAGTGACACTATTATATGAAAATAAGATCTTCTGAAAATAAGATCATGTCATTCATAAATAAATCAACGGTTATCCTTTTTCCATTTTCTATCGTAATGGGTTTTCTTATACCTGTTGATTTATCTATGAATAACTAATGTCGCATCATATGACCTCATGTCTATATCCTCTCTCGTATTTAAAACGTTTCATCATCTCTTTGTTCAATAAACTTGCTACAGGTAAATCCCAGTGTATATGGAGATAGGCAGACTCGGTTATTCATATATTGGACAGTAAGATTTTGCAATGGCATCAACCTCATAATTTAATTGCAAAAAAATAAAAGAAAAAATGCAACTAGTACATGCATATATTGCATGCTTTGTAGATTTGTTGTCAATATTCATTACTCTGTTCTACTTTTTGAGGCCTAATAGTTTTTGGAACATCAATTTCTGTAGGCTGATGCTTCAAAGAAAACGGGTTGCTTTGATCTGATTTGTCCTGGGTTTGTTCAAACTAGCAACGAAATTGCATTGGGTGCTGCAATTTATCCAATATCAATTCCTGGTGGGCTTCCGTACATAATAAATATTTACATCTACAAGGTGAGATTTGGATAGGGCCACCATATATATTATGGGTTTTACGAGAGTTGTCTTGTAGGAAAAGTGATTGTGTAATGTTATAGAGATTCGTTTTGTGTGCCGTAATTTCTTTTTTTTTTCTTTTTTCTTTAAAAAGTGTGGGCCCCACAAAATATTGTGTGTAGGAAAGTTTGTTGTGTCATGTTAAATGACAAATGCAAACCACATATATTATTCACCGGAAAGGTTATACTTACCAATATTTTAGACTTATTACTCTTAGAGTCTGTTTGGATCCTTTCTTTTTTAAGTCAGAAGTTACTTATAAGTTAAAATTAAAACAAAAGCTTAAAAAAAAGTTAAAAGCCATTTGTTAATTACATAAAAAAAAATTAGCTTAAAAGTTACTTAAAAACATATATTTCAAGAAAGTTATATATATATATATATATATATATATATATATATATATATATATATATAAAACAAAAGCATACAATTCAAGAGAAGCTTATGAGCTTAAAAAAAAGCTCCTCTTAGGAGCTTTTGTCTTTTAATTTTTTTTTTATTATAGAAAAAGAGTTTTTTATTATAAGAGTTTTTGTCAAAACCTGTTTGACTTAACTTCTGCTTATAAGTAGTTTTTAGCTTAAAACAAAGATATCCCTCGGGCAATTAATTTTCCTTTTTTTTAAGTTGATTTCAAATTGATCCAACTATTAAGAGTGATAAACCTAAAATGGTAGTAAGTATAATCTTCCATAATTCTATTATCGATTTCCATTATTTAATTCTTCTTCTTCTTTTACTTTATGATTTTCCTCTGCTTTAGGATCCAATTACCAATAATTGGTGGTTGCAATATGGTGAGAAGACCAATGTAGGTTATTGGCCTCCTGAGCTATTCGAAGCAATATGCTACAATGCGGAATCTGTGGAATGGGGTGGCGAAGTTTACAGCACAAGAGTTGCACATAGTACTCCTCATACTAGAACACAAATGGGTAATGGACATTTTGCTACAGTTTATGGAGATGCTTGTTCCGTATCAAGAATGAGAATTCATGACAATTCTGCCACCTTGAAGATCCCTGAATGGGTTGCCAAGTTCTCAGACGAATATTACTGCTACGATGTTTGGTATATGGGAGATTATATTGAAGATCCTCAACTCTATTATGGAGGGCCTGGTAGAAACCCAATGTGCCCTTAAGGGACCACTAATTAATGGCTACCAGTTAGAACTTAGAAGGTAGAGATCATTTTTATCCATTTCTTGCTTTTTTATTAAAAACATTTTTTTTGGGAGTTTCCCTCAGTTTTTTAATTAGATGAAAAATTGCAATGAGAGTTTAGTACCTACAAATTAATTACAAATTTCAATGAAAAGAAAAAGGGTTTTACAATTCTCATTCAACATGAGAATTAAAATTTTCCTACACACCATTCGATTTCCGTGCTGACATGGGTCCTACATATTATTTTTTCTAACACATGGGTCCCACATATTTTTTATCTCTGCAACATAAGATTTCAATTCTCCTTCAACATGAGAATTATAAAACCCAAAGAAAAATTGTACGCAGGCTAAGTATTGATTTTTCTTGAGAGTCGTAACTCCTATAAGGTGAAGAATTTTAAATCTAAAATCAAATTAATCAATCCATTAAGATTTCGGATCCTAGGAAAAAAAAAATGTAGGCCTACTAGCTATAACTTCTTTGCATTATTTATTTTCTAGGTTTATCATTATACCATTTTGTTAATATTTTCAGCTTTTACTTAACTTTGAAATACTACTACTTCTAAATTAAATTCCAAATGACGATTAGTCTCGTGGTTAAATAGTGTGGGAATGTTGAAAGAGAAAAAAAAAATTGTATATATTGAGTTCAAATCATACAGAAAGTCTGTATGGTTGGGTTAATGTGAGAGGTAGAAGTTAATTCCCATCCATTATGCAACTTGAATTTGAAGGAATTGGACGAAGTTATCTTTGGTTCTTCCAAATATGACGAGTTTTGTGATAGTACACTCAAACAAATTGTTGTAAAGGACAAAAAAGTGAAAGAAATTTTCAATTTGGATGAAACATTGTGACATACACCTAGCTAGTACATTGAGCACTAAGCCACTAACACAACACCTTTCGTACAAAAAAAATATAAAATAAAATTCATTTTCTTAGTTTCAATTTCAAACCCAACTTCCGATTTTTACAATTTGGATAATTTAGTAAAATGAATAAATTTTTCTCATATATTTTAATTAAATTGGATAAGAATTTTTTTTTCTTTTTTGGTAATAATTGGATAAGTAATTTTTATTTATGAAAGTTTAATTTAGTGTATACGTCTAGTGTAAAAAATCATTTATCCAAATGAACAAGCCAGCAAGTATAAGATTTTTTTTTTTTTGAGATCGAATACTTTTTTAATTTCACATTAATTCGACATTGTTAATAATCTATCTTAATTTTCTATGACATTATCTTCAATAAAGAGAAATCCCGTAAGGAGAGACGTGAGACACCTTGAGGTGCAAGCATGTGCCTTTGCACTATGTTAGATTGTTAGTTGTAAATAATATCTTTGTAAACCATTGAGTGGGCACCACTTGTCTCCAATACAAAAGAAAAATACAATACGTAAGCACTAAATATAGGAAAAGAATCCTAGTTTTTCACGTTACAGCTCATAAAAGAAAGATAAATATTTCATATGAGTTTTTATGTTTTTTATTTATTTCGTTTTGGGGGGTTGATTTATGTTACAGGATTCATTGATTACTCGTCAATCAATTTGCCATAACTACTACTGTTTCTAACTCGAATGTAGTATTAACGAATGCAATTTGAATTTTGACAGCCACTTGAATGCGAAGAGATAAAAGAATAACTCTATATATGGATAAAGTAATAATTTTTAATACGACCCGTTAATATGATACCAAAAAATTATATTTGGATTAATTCATTTTTAAATTGAATAGGATTATAGTGGCAATTTTTTTTTTTACAAATTACATTATGTCTAACCCGGTCAGACATAATGTAGTTTGTAAATAACAAATTTATAAATATAACTTTCTCCTTTTAAATTAGTACGAGTTAATCCATTTTCAAATTCATATAACTTTCCCCTTTTAAATTAGTGAAATTTATATTTGAATTAATCCATTTTCAAATTCATATAATATTTGTGTTGCCAAAGTCTAAATTGATCCGCAAATACGAAATTGATTGACGTTAAATTATTTATATCAATTTTAACATGACATTAATGAAAAATTTGATATTCAAATTATTCGTGTCGTATCAATCCATAAAATAAATATATTATATTCGGGTTAAAACTTTTAACTCATTTTCAAATTCATTTGATATTCATGTTCAATGTATTCATACTGTGTTAAATTGTAGTTTCCAAACCCCCATCTCCTCACACGTAGGGAGGATTCCGAGTAAATCAATTCCAATAGCAAAATGAAAGTATGTGTATGGAGACAGCATACACTAATAGTACATTTGACTAATTTTCACATTCCACAGATAATATCTAATACAAAATATGTTGTAATTAGGACAACACCAAAAGGAAATGTAAAACAAATTAACCCGATACATGATGTCAGGCAACAAGAATACCAACTCAACTCAAAAGGTTCCACTCCATAAACAGAACTAGACTAAATCATACTGTTTTCTCTCTTCTTGAATCGATTGAAAAATTCTAGCAGCTGATTCCGTTGCAGATCTCGGGTTATGTGGCACTACTTTGATTACTTGCGATTGCTGTCTGTTTTCTAGAGACTGAAGGACTCCTTCTGATACTAAAGGAGTCATAAGGGAAAGAGAATGATCATCTCTTCCTTCAGCAATTTTCCCTGCTCTGGTTCCTTGTGACATTTCACCAGGACTACTTGCTCTACTCCCTTGTAACTCACCCTTTTTAGACCCTTTAAATTTCTTGACATGTAATATAGCTCCATTTCTCTGAACTGGCAAATTTGATGAGCTTTGATTATGAGTGTTAAAACTAGCTCCCTCTACATATGAGTGACCATTTTGACCATGAGAACCTTGTGCAGCAAACTGGTTCACCTTCTCAACAGCTGGTCCTGATACTGATTGATTCATTACCGGCACGCTGTATGGAGGAAAGTACGCATGACTGCTTGGAGGAATGTAAGGTGGCGACACAATTACTTGATGAGAAGAAGGGATTCCATAGGCATGATGATTCATGAAAGTACCACCCAGAGGATACGTTGTTCCTGAAAATCCAGGAACAGGATATGGCTTGTAGACAAGCCCTTCAGAAGGAGACATGACAGGAACTAACCACTGATGTCCAGGTGACTGATTGAAACACCAGGGACCTGTTTTATTATCAGGAGCTAAATTTGTCTGGTGTGGATTTTTGGGAGAGTGGGTGTAATCTGAAAGGTGGCTAGCATTTTTCAAGGATGAAAAAGATGTTTTCCCAACTGCATTCTCAGCGGAACGTTCTATTTTATGGTTTAGCTTTTCAGAACCATCTTGCCGCTTGAGTTTTTGTTGCTGAGGTTCAATAACAACTTCCAATGAGAGACTTTTAGGAGTAGATCCCTTCAGAGGAAATTTTCCCAATAAAGCATCATCTTCCAGCAAAAAATCTGGTGATTCAGCAATCAGCTGTTGGACCTGTTTAAATTAAAAGAATTAATTTTGTATGAACAGACTTGAAGGATGAATCTATGAGTCCATGTGCATGGGTGTGTGCAGAAAAGCTAACACTGCTTCCCGTTTTGAACTAGCACAAGCACTTAGTGTAGAAGATCATTTTACCTTTATCAGTCTGTGCAATTCAAATACTTGGACAGCAAACAGTCTCTGCTGACTGTAGAGAAGGAATGGGAGTTCGATCAAGAAAATTGCACAATGTGGGACTTGAGACACACAAAATTGAAATGAAAAGGAAAATGACATATTTGGAGCTAGATATGATCATGTTGAAAGGACAAATATATAAACCAATAACCAGCAAAAACCAAGGATCTCCAGTCACACCAGATAACTGGTCAAATAAGCCAAATATTTTATCATTCTATAACTCATAAATATCATATCTTAGCGGAAATCTTAACAAAGCTCTTCCAGGAGGACTGAAATGTATTATTGAGACACAAATCTTATAACCATGCCCGTTTTACAAAGATAACATGCCTATTCTGGTCATATATTTCTACAATGCAACAAGCTTTCTCATATAGAATGCTAAATAAATTATATTTTATAGGAGAAAAACAAAATATATAATTCAGAGGAAATATGTGTGCAACTTCATTGTTGCTGCTTCAAACTTCAAATAAAGATCAGACTCGACCAGGAAGCATCAAGCATACAATCAAATGTGGGTACATATAGCATTCCCGATAAAATCAACCAACCTTTTATTTGTAAAGCTTTGTGTTTATCATCTTTTATGGGGGCAAGCAAATATACATCAAATAATACCAAAGATATCTACTCTATATGAACACAGATCGCACAACACCATAGCTATCTACAGTGTATTATTGTAAAGAAAAATCCCAATCTCAATCCCAAAATGTCTAGAACAAAGAAAACCAAGACACTAGATAAGTAGGGGAAGGAGAAAAGAAAAAGTCATCTTATTGCGATAACACCTATTAAGGACTCATTAAGTCATCATATACTCTCCAAGTGTTCCTACCATACTCTGCTGGGATCATCCTGCATTACTTGGTCCCCTTCTTAGTCCAAGTCCTTCAGTGCAGTAAGGGCAAGCAGTGCAGTAAGGGAAACTTGCCCCAGTCGTCACATGGAGAACCAAGTAAGAGGAAACCAAGACAGGAATATATCCAAATAGTGAATCATGAGATGATCTGCTGTCACAAGGATGCCCATCCAACATAGTACAATATTTTAAGACTGCTCACCACCCTGTTGTAAGATGATCCATTACCCACCATTAAAGCATTATTCGGGACTTTGAAAATATTCAAAACCAATTTAGAAGGGACCCCAAGACTATCAAATTTCCTTTCTTCAAAGCCACATTTACAACCCCTTAATTGAGATGTTAACTATCCAGGCCACATGCCTAGCATAGTTAACAATGCATAGAAGAAACTACTGCAGCTATACATTTGTAACAATAGGAGAGAAGAAAAATACCAGCAGTAAGTAGCAACGGGCAAAAATTTCACATATTCTCAAACCAGACCTCATATACGAATCAAATATGCATGCAAAAGCAGAAGTCTCATCATTACATCAAAATATCAGTTAAATCAAATCAGCAGTCCGTGAATAAACCAAACTTCCACCAAATCAAACTTACTCTTTTTTCTGTTATTTTTTATTTTATTTTAAATTTCCGAGCATACGTACATAGAAAACAAATTATGACTTCTTTTCATGCCAAAATCATAAATTTGTAGTATTTAAGAAACTAAAAATTTACATAAAAACTGTCAGGCTGAAGCATGAAAGATAATCCACTTATCATAAATCAGTAAAGGGTTCACAAGGAAATAATTCAAGTTTGAGACCACCACAAAAACATATGCTTCTGACAATCAACAAGACAGACCACCACAGAAACAGATGCTACTGACAATCAACAAGACTTACTTGGCAATTTCCCGTCTTGCTTTCCAGAAATGTTTTTGACCTATTATCCCTACAACATCATCAGGAGAAACTTTCAGGCTTGACAAATTTTCTTCACTGGAGATCTTGGAAACATCATCACTTTCATCTAGATTTCCATTCTGTATTTGGCCACCAGTCCTGGTACCATGATATTCAGTGTCATTGGTAGCCTCATGTGGACTGGTTTGGTTCACTTTAGAACGAAAGCAGCCTCTTGGTACAAGGGTGTTTCCATTATCCAAATCCCTAGTAGAGCCAAGGAGACCATCACCATGTTCAATGTCATTGGATTTTGACCCAGCTATACCCTCTAGCTGTAAGCATACATCAGCATGTTGTAATCTGCTTATATTTAACACAGGACATTCTTGATCCTCTTGATTTGGAATCACCTTGGCTTGCTTCACTAAACTGTCAACAATTTCGCCAGTTGATATGTTTTTGACAGACATTACAGGTCGCTGTCTTCTTCGGCTTACTTGCAGAAGCCCTTCACTCTCACTCCGCAAATCTTTTCTCATATCAGTAAGCGGCAATCCAAATTGTGCGGGATCGTTGTCACCACCATTTTGCGCTGCTACTGAACAACCAAGACTCATAGTGCCCATAGGAGTGAGTTTTTTCCCACTGAAACTCTCCAGTGTTTGATCATTAGGTTGACCAATCGTCGAGTGAACATATACACTAACCCTAAAGTCACCTTCATCTACTTTTTCCCTCTGTTCAATTTGTGCAAACGAAGTGTCCGGGTTTGATCCATCAGATTGGTGAGAAATATAACTTTCAGCACGACGAGAGCGTGTTTGTGAAGGCAAATGAACCGGTACAATATAACTTCTCTCACGTTCAATCCCCTGCAAATATATATGTTAACTCACGTTAGAGACATACATAAAGTTATTCATAAACCTTCAACCTAAGATCTAACACCTTACACTTTTAGGAGAGTTAATTCTTAATATGGTATCACAACTTCTATAACCAAATTTCAAAGCCTCGGTAACTATAGGATTACGAATTTAATCATGTGGAATTAAATAAGCACAAGATAAAACTAAAAAAAAAAATGGACTTGTATACACCTTCAACCAAATGGTGAGAGTCTAATTATTGCGGCCAATTCTTTTAAATCAAAGTTAGATTTCAGCACAAGTTGGGCATATGCAAGCCCAAAAGGGCTCTTGAGTGAGTTGGTGCTACAAACTCCTAGGTAAAACATAAAAAGGTTAAGAAACCCCTTAATTGAAAAATACAACTATGAATTTCTCTTATGCTAAAAGCAACTAAACAAGCACAGATATTTCAAACTTAAAAAAATAAAATTGAAACATAAAGTGAGGAAATCCAAAACATACCTGGGAGGTTGAAGAAGTAATTGGATTGACCCTTTGAGAGGGAATAGTAAATTGTTCATAGAGGGCCATCTTATTCCTTGGTGGTGCTCTTGGACCTCCCTTCTCTGTATCATTAACATGGAGCCTTGGGAACATTGGCCCCACCAACTTCTCATCATCTTTCCCTCTCTTCATCATTATACTCTTCCTTCGTATATCTTAAATTGCGAACACGCAGAGAGAGAGAGAGAGAGAGAGAGAGAGGGTATAATCGTCAATCTACTCTCGAAGCTAAAGCTAATAGAAATCCAGATGAAGGATATGAAGTAACTGGCGTGAAGACCGACAACAGGAGAAAAATAAGGAAAACTGAACAGCCTGTTTAGGGATTCCTCGGAATGATAAGGGAAAGAGAAGAAAAAGTGCGGTCTTGTGGGTTCCCCCCTTCGACAATAAGATTGGTTAACTAGATCACAATCACATTGTCTTGTCCAGATTGACGTTTTCTTCACTTTACTGTTAAAATAAAAACACTTTTTATTTATTTTATTTTAACTTAATTTTAGGAGAATCATCCAACACTAACACCGATCAAACTGTTATTTTTTGATAAAATTTGTATTCAAATGCCAATCAAAAATATTTTTTACCATACTGTCACAAGTCTTAATTTGTTATCACTAGTAATAAATTACATTCGTCAATGATTGCGTGACATGTGGTCATTGTAGACCAAATTCGCTATCACTATAGTAAATTATAACATGTCAGTTTTTTTCTGTAAAAGTGTGCCACAAAATTATTGGCAAAAGTAATTCACTACCAATTGTAACGAATTATGACACATGACAGTGTGATAAAAAATATTATTCGTATGATATTTGAATATAATTCTTGCCAAAAAATAACATTTTGGTGAGTGTTCTCATCCAACTACGGTAAATTTTCATTATTACCTAATGAAATGACAAATAAGTGAGATTAATCTGATATTAACCATACATATTGTTTGGATAAAATAAATAAAGTTGACTCTACTCGATTGCTTCATCTTTAGAACTACTCCAGTTTGAATATTGTTGAAACTTAGAAAGGGGCTCTCCCAATACCAATAATATTGTGAGAATACTGAAGAAACTTTCTCACCGAGGCTACCAAATTTTGAAAAATTTCGGTGCCTTTCTCTTCTTTGATTGCAAGCTAACCAATAACTCATAGAATTATAATCTAAACAAGATTTTCTTCTATATTCTACTGTTAAAATATATTTAATCTCTAATAACATATAGTAAAATCTATTAATGTCCATTTACAACAAAATTCTAATCGTTAAGGGTTTTTTATCTCCTCGTGCATTATTGTTTCGCTTCACAAGTTACTAATTTTTTTTCAATATTCTAATTTTTAATTTTTTTTTTCTTACGAGTGCCGCTCATTTTATAGTATGCTCAATTGTTGTTGGTGTTAAAGTTTTTTAATGTGTGATTATTGTGCTTCATTCAATCGTTGCAGTCAAAATATCTTTATTCTCAATAAATTTATTTAAAAGAATAAATAAGAAAATTTAATTGAATAAATAAATATTAATTTTGCGATCTTATTTAGTCTTATACAATGTTTAATATATACATGCAATAAAATAATCCTTCTAATTAAATAGTGTTTAATATTTCTTTATAAGAAAATGTTTTTCTTTTTTTGTAGAAACCTATATTCCCATTCAATATCTTTCGATACATTGTTTTTGGAGTACGGCCCAAAAATTATTCCCTTATTGAAACAATGGGTCATTGACTACTCTCATCAAAGGAAAGATAAGACTAATCCCTCTGGCCCTCAAAGAATTTTAGAATTGCTTGGGTCAAGAATCGAATTCTAGATCAAACAACATTGGCACTCAACTTTCTCGATTGAGCTACCCTTGGGGGTTAAAAAATGTTATATAGTCTATAAAATTATTGAAAATTTAATTGAATTAAGCTTAGATTTAAAATGATTGTTAAATGGAAAAATAATAGAAATTATTTAATCCATCGAAGTTAACAAATAATAAATCATGCTAAACTATTCTGTTAAAAATAAATATAAATAAAAATTGTTTTTTTATTATTATTCTATCTGAGTATGAACAAAATCAGGCCAAAAAGTTGTACCAAATAAATTTAGGTCAAAAAGAAGAAAGTTAGATTAGGGAATAATTTTGCTATAGGCTATTGAAAATTATTGTTAGTACCATAGTTGTTAAAATTTCGATTTATCACTAGATTTTACGATATTTTTTTATCAAAATAATTTTATAAATATTTCAAATTCTTTTATGTTTTTATGATTTTTTACGATTTTTTGACATTATAATTTTACATTTTATGATGATTTAATTCATTTCTGATCTTACTTAAAATCTCAATTTTAACAATTAGCAGAATGGACACCTGAATTTGAAACCAATTCGTAGTTGAGGTGATAGTGTCTCAATGCTGGATCTTTATCATTGGTTAGCCAAATAAATGACTTATATAAGAGAACATATGTTTAGATGAATAAGTTTCTATTTAATTAAATTAATTACATCTTTAATTTAATGAATGTAATTAATAATTAAAATTAAAATTTCTCATATTATATAAGATAATTTGATATCGTGTATGTATATATATATATATATATATATATATATATATATATATATATAAAGTGTATTAAACTTATATAATCATATAAATCTCATGTACTTTAGATAAAATTAACTTAGGAGAAATAATAATCCATTCATAAGTATAACATATCTAGAAGTTAAAGAAAGTGGCTTTTTGACCACCGTAGAACTGTGGGGCATTTGCTTGCCTAGTGCGCTGAGCTGTGATTGTTGCGTTGTCATTCATTTCTTCTTGAAGTTCCAACTTCAAAAAGAGTGGAGAAAGAGCACCAAGAAAAGCAAGATTCGATATGATTCTATTCTAAGTCGTCACTTTAATCCGATCAAAGTGTAATTTAAGCAAAAACTTTTTGATTATTTGTTAATCGAAGTAAGCTTAAGCTTTTATATTTATATACTTATGAGTTAAATAATACAATTTAAATTAAATTAAATATATGTAATTTTTTTAAATATATATAATTTTTTTTTTGGTAAATAAATATATATAATTTAATTTATACAGATTATCAATATAAAAAAATAATATTACCATTTAATGATATATTGTCATATTATTTAATGAGTTGAAAGACACATGAGTTGTCAAACTCGTCAAGGAAACTTGCTTTTAAGACATTCTGATGTCACGTAAAAATATCACTGTTTTCTTACAACAAAATGGTTATATGTATACTATTTATTTAAGTGGATTTTTAATATTTTATTTTTTTAAATATTGTCATAAAAAAATAAACACTTCTTTTAGGGACATCTAATCAAGATATTAATGAAAATAAAAAAGCTATACTCATGTATTTGATTAACTAACTTTAGGATGTTACTTAATTTTTGTTTGACTGTGTGCATGTAATAAAAGTACCTAGGCTGCAATAAAAACAAATATGACGAAATATACATTGGTGTCGTTAAGTATTATTATAAATAAAACATCTATCTTTCGTCTCTAAAAAGTTAACATCCAATATTTATTGTTTGCCTTTCTGTTTTCCTTGTCTGATAGCACCTTCTTGATATATATATATAACATTATCTTATCTAAGAGATAGCTGATATTAAATTAGACACTTAATCATAAAAGTAATAGGAAAAAATGTTTCCGCAGTTAATGCAGATAAATTATCTGCATTTATTCTCAAAACAACGTCGTTTTTGTATTAAAATCTTAAAAAATTATAAATATAAAGATTATTATAACCTTGAAATAAATTAAAATTATAAAAACACCATGATTTTCGTCCAAAACGACGTCGTATTGAGCTTACTGCAGATAACTTATCTGCATTAACTGAAGAAAAAGCGAACCCAAAGTAATATGTATAAAAAGAAAAGTAAAATGTTTTCACCTGATTGAGGAACTTACTGGATATTATTTATTATTATTGATGAATTAAATTAATGTCAATTTATTCAGAACACTAAATTAATATCATTCTAAAAAAAATTAATATCATTCTCCATCTTTCAAAAGTTAAATTGATATTACTTGTCTTTTATAAAAACAAATATGATATCATCATAATTTAAGAACCAAAATAATAATTTTACTTTATTATTGTATGATCTTGAAATTTATAAATTTCATTTTCTTAAAGTTGTAAATAATGAATTTGGCTTAATTATTAAAGATATTGCTTAAGCTACAACCGGCCTACAAGGATGTTCAATTGTTTTGTATTATTATTATTTTATTTTTTTTGGTTGAAATAAGGACATAGCCTGAAACAAAAAAAGCAAACAAACTACAAACGAGAAACTCTAGTCCTATGAACAGAACTAAAATCAGAAAAATACAACCACTTAATATCAGGAGGAAGAGATTGGAAAGTCAAATAGTCCTCTTGTTCCGTCCTTTCCAGCAAAAAAATTTCCAGCCAATTCGCGCAAGAATTACTTTCTCTATATGTATGCATCAATTGAACTGTCCAGTTATTTGATAGTCATTCCCGTATCCGAGTCACAAGTAGAGACTCACGGGATGCATCACCAAATTTGGTGAGCAGAGTGATAGCAGTTGCTGTGCCTCTGGCAAGTGTGGTTTTTCAAGTTGAAATTGATAAGAATTGAGTCATAAAAGAGCAATTTAAATACATATTTGCTAATTATATTGATTCTTTCTACGTAAATGATAATTCTCACCTATTGATTGTGTTTATACAGGTAAAAGAAGTGAAAATTACAAAATTATAAAAAGCCTGTTGACGCGACTCTATACAGGTGTAGCACAGTACAAATTGCTAATTTATGCATGCTTTAGGGATAGACTTGTGTGAGTTGCAGTCGTTTGATTTATCGTGATTAATGCTTAATTTCATGCGGGGTTGCTAAGGGATTAGGATTCCAATTGAATTAAAGGGTTAGATTGCCAAGGGATTGGGATTTAACTAATTATTTTAGATGATAATTTGTCTGAGTTATTAAATTAAATGAACGTTGTCAATCAATCCAAAGTTTAAAGTGGGGATCATATGGTGCGTGTACCTTAGCTGCAATGCTTTTTATTATTCTCTCAAAAATCCAAACTTTACCATTGCTATTTGAATTGAAAATTATATTTTAAATTTCTGTCTTTATTTTACCATCAATTCATAATTTTCCAAAAACAACCGAGTTTTTCAACTTAAGGGGACTGGTTATTATAGTACTTGGTTTACAATCCCTGTGGAGACGATACTCTACTTATTTATTATATTACTTGTGTGATCGGTATACTTGCCGGAGAGCATCAAGTTTTTGGCGCCGTTGCCGGGGATTGTTAATTCCAATATTATAAATAACCGT